ATTTGAATTATGTCTTTATTGTCTTTATAGTGGTTACTTAGTTATTTCAGTTAACATTAACCCCTTGAATGCCATATGCTTAATGTCCGGATATCCTGGTTTTTATGAAAGCTATTGATTTACACAGTGCTTCAGTTTTTATACCAAGAAAGAAGAAATTAGATATCTGCATAGGTGAAAAACCTTGAGTAGGTGATGCAAGGGGATAAAAATATTCTGAAAATATTCTGATAAACATTAGCAAGAATAAAAGCAGAACATAATTTCCAATGTTTGAAACTGAGCTGTGCCAAAATCCATTCAGTTTTACGCAAAAAAAATATTTAACATCACTAGATACATTTAGTCACTCGAAGTTCTGTGAATCAAATACAAAATTCTGTGAAAGAAAAAAAAAATCTGTAAACTTATTTTGTCATGAGTTCACCAGAAATTCTGAAAATAGTTGGCTCCATTTGTCAACAAGAATAAGCAAGAAGGAAGGTAATGGCTTACACCAGCAGATAAAGGACTTGTTAAGTCTTTCAGTTTAAAAGGGCTGCCTCCCAGAAGAGTTTTCAGTATGTTTTTGACTTCTTTATATTTTCTCCAGAGCTGGTTGGATTTCTTGCAGTTAATAAAAGGGACATTTAGCTCCAAATACTTTGTCTGGTATTTTGAATGGAGTCAATAAGGTTATCATAAGGTTAATACCTTGAGGTTATTTTCACAATCAGAATCAGGTTTTGTGTTTTGAATCTCTTTAAAAACTAGGCATAATTTCCTTTGAGGCAATGATTCAGTCCCACTCCTATGAGTGATATAAGGAAGCCTGGAAATTTGTAGAATTATTAAGTTGTATCCTTGTATCTGGAAGTTGTTGGCAATTTAAAATGATCTCACATTATATCACCACAGCTAACACAGCATTGCAATCAGATTCACTTGAGCATTTCCTTCCAAGTCCAAACACTGACATTGTCTTTTGACCATTGATCTTTTACAGAACCTGCAGATTTTTGACTTTCCTTCCAAGGTCATCATTTTACTTGGAAGCCTACTGACTGGGATATGTCTAACCCCGTCTTGTACAGTCAAGGAACTGAATAAATACTTCTTGAGTGCCATATTAAGAGCAGTCCAAAGACTATTTAATCTGCACATTAAAGTCATTGGAAATTTTGCGGGGCAAGAACTCTCTTCTTTAGGCATGCAACATAGTGAAAATGACCCTCAAAAGGACTAAAAAGAAAAGACCCTTTTGTCTTTAATTAACATCCCTATGTGTTTAAAACCTAAAAAAGAATGGACATTGCATTTCCCCCCATGTTTGTTCTGTGACAACTTGATTAGCTCTTTTCAAAAGGAAAAAACAACAGTAAAAAAAAAATACATAAAATTTAGCTTAAACTCAAAGCTCTAGATAAGCTAGAAATAGGATTAAGTTATAATCAGAATAGAAGTATTGTTAGGATACTAAGTTATGCAGTAAGTATCATTACTGCCTACTGTTGTAGCAAAGGGTGCAATCCTGGGGCCTCTGATGTTACCCAGGGAGTTGACTCTGACCAAGGACCTCAATTTGCTGACTCCAGACAGCAATGAAGAAAGTGTATGGGAAGAGACAGGCACGTGTACTTGCACACTTAGAGTAACACATCTGCTGGGTTGGGACAGCTTCCTTGTCAGACAAGACCCAAGGAGTCTGAATTTATTTCAAAATGATGTATAATACTAAGCTTTATTTCTGTGAATGTATTTCTGAAGACAGACTGGAAATGACTTGCTTGCATGTTGTGCTCTGTGGCTGCACTTGGAATTGGGGTGGTTCTCCTTTAAATAACTGCTCAGAAAAGAGAAAATTCAGGCAGTTGTGTATCAATTAGCAGGGTGCATTTCTTCATGCGAGCTGCCTGGAAATGCAAAATGACAAATCTGAGTATTAAGCTTTCCTCTATCGTTTTGCTTTCTTACCTCTAACTACAAATCAACTTCATTGTGACTCACAGTGTAAGAAGTTGGTGCATTTCTGCAGATCCATGATAAGATATTTTCCTCTGGTAAGAAATGCACTTGCACTCCGCAGTCTGGATCTGTCCCTGCCAGGCCCACATGCATTAGTATTCCACTGGCAGCTGCCTTTAGGTAGGAATATTGTTTTTGTCCATAACCAGAGGGAACAATCAGACTAAGCCGTTCTCCGGCTATAAACCAGCCAAAGTAATTGGGTTTAATTTTAATTTTTGTAATAGCTTTAAATTAATAGGAGCAGCTGCTGCCACAGTGTGTGGGTGTCCTTTTCCAGAAGGCATAGAACAAAAAAGGGAAAGAGTAAACAATAGTGCGTCTAGGACACAAAGGTTAATTCAAGAACTGAGCAATGTCTTTTCGTTATCAAAAACTCAGTTGGTCTCAGTATGTCTCTTTTCTTTCTTTTTCTCTTCCCTCCCCTCCCTCCTCCCTGCCTCCCTCCCCCCCCCTTTATTTTCCCCTTTAATTCCGTGATAAGATCTCAATCTGATTAGGCTACCGTGTGTAAAGATGTGCTGTTGGTATCTAAACTCTAACTCTCTTTTTCTATATGACTCACAAATAGATTAGCAGTGACAAAGTGCTAGGAGAGATAAAAATAGATTAGCAGTGACAGGAGTACCATTATAATTATTTTTTGAAGATATGGCTTGAATTAAGAGTTTGGGCACTTCCTGCCCTGAGAGGGTGAATTTAAACCTAGGAACTGAGCATGCTTTCTGCTGTTGTGTCAGACACCAGATAGAGAAATGTCAATACCAGATGTCCTAGACATCAAGATTAGCCATAATAGCCAAATGCAGCCATAAAGTGATGTGTCAAAGTGGATAATAAAACAGATGCTTGGCTTCTATAATGAAGGAGCGAAGGAACAAAATATCAAAAGTGCCTTTAATACATTAACAAAGTTGTCTTCAACTTGCTTAAAAGTAGAAAGTTATTGAACCAAGGAGAACTACGTGTCATTTAAGCATTAACTATCAGCAGATGAATTTCAATTAGTATTAGCCTTTCTAAAATCTTGACTTTCCTCCTATTGGTCTCATTTTACATGATTTTTTTATATCATAAAGAGAGGCTTGTCCATTATTATTTCTCCCATGCTAATTTTGAAACAAATAAAGTTCAACAACTCAGCAACATACTATTTAAACTTGCATTACGTTTTGAGGACTGGGAGTTAGAATACATTTACCCAGTGCCATATCATCTGCTTGATTTGAGATCAAATGAGGGATGTCCTATAGCACTCCGGAGTAAGGGTGAATGATAGAAATATGTTAAGATACTGGAGAAACCTATTAGGTGAGGGCACTGCATGCACACAGCTGGTGGCATTTTTTCCCTACTACTACTTAAGAAAAATTGAATAGTTTGGTTTTTGTTTCCTATCTCTTGCATTTGTGGCTTAAAAATCATTTTCAGATGTTAATGATAAACAAATATCTTATTTAAAACAAAAAGCGCTGAAGAAAATTCTTGAAGCACAGAAAATTCAAGAACCAGAGTAATAGAAGCAGCAAATAAATTCTTATTTCAAGTCTAATTGACTGCTTCACTGGCTCTTTATTGTACTTTTTCAAGAACATCTCAACTCCTTTCTGTTTCTCTTTGTAGCCCCTGAGTCTTGCTGATCAGATTCCTTAACTGCTGCTCATTGGCAAGCGTACTTCTGCATAATGAAAGGCTTTTGTCCTCCATTCCATATTAGCAGTGAAAGGCCATAACTGATGCTCTGCAGTAGACCAGTTTCTCGGAACTATTACAAAGAGACACACTGCTACTGCTGTCTCTAAATCTTATTACATTTTCCCTCACCGTGATCCTAGTTTAGCTGAGATGTGTTCCAATCATTATATGAGACCCGTTTATAATATTATGTAATTGATTCAGTTAGAGTCTGCAGGACTGTAGTGTTTCGTTGCCAAACAGGATTGGTAAGTTAGTTACATCAAATTACAAGTACATTGCATGACTAGAGAATCTCCTGCCTAAATAAAGGTGGAAAATCCATCTGTGTAATGAAGAAGGGGCACAAATAGAAATATTGAGCACTTCTGCTTCATAGAATCAGAGTTTGATGCACCTCTGAAACATTACTCACTTCCTTTGAGAAATTAAAGAATAACTGAAGTTGGGTGAAAGATGTCAGGCAGACATTTTTATTCTTTAAACAGATACCAGCTTAATAGCAATGACATAAATAAATGTCTGCACTGTAATTATTTACCATCATGTATATTAATTTTTATCATGTCAGCACTATAAGCCAGAACTCTCACAGAGGGCAGCAATCCAATTTGGAACAGGACCAAACATCCTTTTCTCCTTCACTTTCTAATTTAGGACCAGGTTATTTTCCCAATCCAAAGTTGCTTGTTGTTTTTTTTTCTTTCCTGTTTTTGTTTTTCCTTAAGAATTTATTTCGTCTTCAATTCATTGGCTAGGTGCTGATACATCCCCTGACTACTAAGAGGGATAGCTCCTTTGTGTGTATATGTATATTGGCATATATTATACTATGTACTGTATATATACTCATACTGAACATCCTTCACCAATTATGCCTTGCCTATGCATGGATGAACCAGTCGTGTATCATAGGATTTAGCCATGTTCCAGCCAGAGATTTTGCTGGAAACTCTGTAGCACTATGAGCTTGCACAAGCTTGATAGCAAAGGAGCACACAACTCAGCTGCCCATGCATCTTCAGCACTTCCTGGGAGTTGGTTTGTCTGATTGTATGTAACTCTCTCCTGCTATACTAGCCCTACAAGCTCAGACCTGGCACAGCAGCCATGGCTGGCACAGCCCAAGCATGGAATTTGTGTGCATGAGTGCTCTGAAATGCAGGCTCTGGGATCTACACTGTCTAAAATTATTTTACTTCATTTACATGAGAGGAAATAGGAATCTCAGAAAGCATTTCACTTCAGATTTCTTTTGAACATATATATGTTGATTTATATATGTTGCTTTTATTTTTTAGGCAAAGAATACCCTCCAAAAATGTGTATTACTATCGCTGCCCAGACCACAGGAAGAACTATGTCATGTCATTTGCTTTTTGCTTTGACCGTGAGAACGACACTTATCAATTTGCCTACTGCTACCCTTACACCTATACTCGCCTTCAGCACTATCTTGACAACCTACAGAGGAGGAACATGGACTACTTTTGCAGAGAACTGCTAGGACTCAGCGTGGTAAGTGATAGGCATTTTTACCAACTAGCAGGCTTCATTATGCATGCTTACCCTTAAATGCTTACAGAGAATAATTCGTCATCCCTGCTAAGGTAGACATGCACACATATTTGTTTTACACTTGTCAGTGACACACAGAGTAGCTTTACCCACATAGTGAAATATAGACAAATGCTAATTTAATTTCATGTAAAGTATTTCCTTTGCAATATGCAAGGCAATGCTAAAATTCCCACGTAGGACCAACTGACCACTAAAGGAAGTAACTGAAGCAGCTTTATTGAAGAAATGTGATTTTTAGAGTTTTCTATCTATTTGATTTTATGGAAAAAGCTTTCATATTCAGAAAGAAATAAGAATCTTTGGAACGAGAATACAGCTTTTCCTAGTAAAGTAATGCAAAGCATTTTAAAAGCAACTTATTTTATTTAGTCTTAAGATTGTCTGCTTTGGTAAATTTAACTAAAAAGGGGTTTAGTTCTCTCAATATATAGACCTTAGTGGCCATACAAAAATGAAATATGACATTCTGGTGGAGGAAGGAGGTTTAATGTTAAGGCTGAATATAATTTGCTACAACCTTTCTCTGAAATGTTTCTTGTCCTGAAGATTTGGAAATCATGACTCAGCCAGTGCCATATCAATTCAGAAATCATCAGATTAAGAAAAGAAATTGCTGATATTTTTTCCCTTTTGTTTTCTCAGACATGATAGTGCACGTGTTCCATAGTCTAAATCTCTTCTCTGAGATTTGATTTGGTCCAAACTTGTAGTGTATGTGTGTGTCAGAAAATGAAAGCTGCAGTTTTTATGAAGGCTGCTGATTCTGGCAGCTCAGGCTTTAAAAAGAATCCCAGAATATATTGTGAAAATGAGAAGAAAATAATATGAATAACCTGCTCTGGAATAAAGAACTGGTTTCCACCATTAGGTCAGGCCACTGAGTTCCTTCCATGCCATGAAACTCATTGTTCAACCTACAGAGAAGAGCAAAACCAAAATTAACAGAAAATTTTTGTTCTTAACCCTTTTGTCTGTTAAGCACAGTTTTTGCTCTAAAGAGGACTGTAACATATCTCTGAACTGACATTAATGATTAATCATTCCAATTAGGGGGACAAACAATTACAAAGGCACGAGGAATTTTTTTTTTAATTAAAAAAAAAAAAAGAAGTAAAGTCTTCAGAGGGTGGGAGGAAGGAGCGCTATCATTTTAATGTGTGTAGGGTTTTACTCATTAATCTTAGGGGACAGAGCTATCATTAATTCTATAATGAAACTAAATTTGTTTCCTTTCACTCTGAAAATAGTATATAAACAGTCACATTTGCATATTCATCAGAACCCTGATCTGACTGATTAAAACACTGAGATAGAAGGATTTGTCTTTTATCTGCATTTTGACAGACTGAGCTAAACTCTTAAATCATGTTAACATTGTGTTGCCAGTAGTTGCTAAACATTATTTTTCATATTTCAGCAAACTAAACAAACAGATGCTGTTCAAAATGTGGCAGGAAATGTGCTGTGTACAAGTCCAGATTTTATATCTATATGTACACACACAGTATGTTTTGCAGAAATTGATATGGTAACATTTTGCAGCTCACCATGCTGATATGTATAAAAAGCTTCTGAATCAGGCTTGTGCTGTAATCTTTGTAAGTAACATTACAATCTCAGAGCATTTCTGGCTTTTCTCCATACACAACTGTCCTAGAACAGCTTGGTAATTTAATGTCTTTGCTGAGCTTGAATAGACAATTTCCATAAGTTCTCTGTGAGTTAAATATTTTAACATAGAGCTTTGTTGCTATCATACATCTTTAAATGGTGAAAAACAGCATCCTTCAGTCTTCGCTGCACAGTACTTCATCAAAGCAGAAGCTGGCTGTACTTTAGAGAATTGCGTGCCATATAGGATAGATTTAGAGCTGAAAAAGAGAACTCCATCTCCACGCTGGCCCCTTACGTAAGATAAGAGGAATCAGATTGGCATAACGAGGCCCTTAAAAGCTCTATTCCTGGCGAAGGGACGATACCCCTGGTAGCACATGGTAGAAGGAAATGTAAAGATGCCTTCTGAGGACAAACTCTGAATCACGATAGCATGTTAGGGGAAGACTGTTGCATACCTGCTGAATGCCATACAGCCACTAATGCCTTTTGTTTGTTCCAGCTGATTTTACAGCTCGCTTCATTAGTTTAAGGTGGTGAGGATGGAGAATGGTTTGGAACAATTTAAGTTCTCCTGGATTATGAAGTTTTGATCTGTGCCTCTTGTAGACAACAGAATCTTGCCACAGATCTATGTGGTTATTTTTTTCCTTTGTATTGGAACAGTGAAATGCTAGTCACAAGAAACCATGCTCAGATGATTGCTCCTGAAGGCTTTCTGAGTGCACATTTTCCTGCATGTAATGTTTTCAAGGCAATCTAATTTCTAATCTAATTTCATATTTTCTCTAAAGAAAGTACTATGCCTCCATTAACTCCTTAAATGCTTTCACTAATTCTATGAAAATTGAAAGTGAAATATCAGTGTGGGACGTGTAATTGTCATTAGGATGCAGAATGGCAAAGTGGTTCAGAGCCAAATGGCAAAGATTCCCATTGCCAGTGTGAATGGGTAACTTAGCTGTTCTGCTTCTGACCTTTTAATGTTTTAACGCTTTACTTCAGAGAGCTATCCCACACTCTGGATGTGCCAAATGATCTTGAAAATAGTCTCCCCTGCAAGCTAACTGTGATGGCCACCCAGGTGTCATTCAAACTGCTGTTTTCATTCTGCCATTGTTGCCTGTAGATAACTTCAGACTTTGTATAGATTGTCCCAGCAGATCATACGTTCAAAATCTGTAAGCATTTGGAAAAGATTGTGCAGTTGTTTTCTGTGCACATTATGAATGAGTCTGTCATCTTGGCAGATATTAGGCAATACTGTACAGCATCTTATAATGAAAAATAATTTATTATTTCATTTGAAAATATAAACACAAGCTCAATGTCTGCTACTTATATATAATCTGTACATGTAGCCTTATAAACAATACCACAGACTTGGCAAAACGTTTGAGTATCATTGTTTAAAGATGGTGATCTAAGTTAACTGCACATACTTGAAGTGTGTGGACGATTGATGAAACCTGTACCTCTACTAGCATTATGCTATCACACATACTAAATTAAATAAGTATTGCTGAGACTGGCTTCTGCAAATTGCAACTGGCTTGGCGATATTTTTGTCGCTCTCTTCAAAAACAGAAAAGATTAATTGTAGATAGATACTTCCTTTTACTCCGTTAGGCAATGGTGCTACCAAATTATGCTTGAGGAGTATTGCAACTGCACATAAAAACCACAGGCCTCAAAGGGATTTCCACAGAGCACAGTCAGTAGTATGTGGAATTCTGTTAAATTAAATATTAAACATACATATTTTAAAACAAGAAGGCAATATGTCTAATGCAGAGCCCTGTAAGTGAGCTAGTCTCTAAAGTCAGACCTGAAATACTGAGTGAAACAGATTGGAGCACAAGGTGCTTCATTCTGATGCTCCACCATTTCAATGTATGCTTTTAATTTATGTAAATTACTTCTCATGATGGTGTCAGAGTGAATCAGAATCAGGCCCCAAGACTGTAAACCTGCACAGCCGATGTCACATTTTTGGTTCATTGATCAAAAATCCCTTATTTGATGTCTAAACTACTGGTAACCCCGGTAAAAATAGCTAATCAGTTCTACAGATATCTACTGGTCCCTTTTAACTGCTCAGTTATTACTGTTTTAAAGCATGAAGCAAAGAAAATAGACAATTTTTCTAAGGTTAAGTTTCCCATTTCTGTGTACAGTGTTAGGTTATGTAATAATGGTTCTATAAAAGAAAAGTGTAGTCTTCATCTTAAAAAAAAAAAAAAGAAGTGATAGGCTTCAGTGTGATGTATCATGCCATGGAAATCATGTTGGTATCATATTCTGTACTTTTCAGTGGACCTGACTGCAACTAGGTTGAAATGTCATCTAAATGCAATTTGTGGTAATTTACTTGGTCTGAAATAGGGCACAGAAGTAACGCTAAAAATACCATAAACTTAGCTTCTCATTTATCTAGAATGTGAAAGTGCATCCATACATATGCTTAGGGCACATACTCTTTAATCAGTTATGTATCTATCTATACATATAGTGCTGATTTTCCCATATTATTCTTAATATGTATGTTATCCTAAAACTGTAAATGAGATTTTATATGTTTCTACAAATATTTGCTTAGCTGGGTTTGGGCATTAGCAGAAGTAGAGTTGGGCCTAAAAGTAACACCACCACTTTTGGAATTAAAACATGATCAGTAATGTACAATATTACAGTATTGATATTAAACAATATTTTTACATGTTTATTTATTTATTATTCATGAAATAACATTATTTCCCAACCACTAATGGAAAAGGGAGTTCTAATGAGCAAGTCACTAAACACGGAAAGTAAAGGAGGTGGACCCTCCTTTACAGCAAAATTATATAAATCACAGAATTACAGAGGTTGGAAGATACCTTTGGAGATCAATGAGGCCAACCCCCATAAAAAGAAAATGCAGAGCCTGGGTCTTGAACCCAGCATCCTTTGGTACATGATCCCTGCGCTGTGTGAGTGCTGTAGCCACTGGGCCAAATAACATGAAAAGTAACAAGGAATTCTTCCATACATATATTCACTTTTAAGGAGAATTTCTTAAAATTTGATGGAAATTCTGGGAGATAATCTAGCTAGTGAGATTTACAGACAAGGAAAGGCAGACAAAACCGTTAGTCTTGCAAGTTAAGATCTTGCAATATTGAGAAACTTTACCACATATATAAGCTGGTTAAGTCTTAAATTTTAGAAAGAACAATGTTTTCTATCTGAAAATAATTTCCAGAAAGATTCACATATATTGTTGTTTATCAAACTCTAAGTAACAAATCTTAGAATTATAGAATATCCTGAGTTGAAAGGGA